TAATAATAAATATATATATATATATATATATATATAATAAATATATAAAAGGGTTATTATAGTTAACAAACCAAAACCATAAAAATCACTTTTGTTACTTGAAGAAAAAAAAAACTTATTTTATCTGTTCTCTCATTTTCCTTTAGTTTAACTTGATGTACTAAAATAGCTAAAACTAAAATGAAAATGAAGAAAAACTATATAGGCATGCATAAATAAAAATAAACAAAACCACAAAACAAATTAATAAAACTAACTAAAATTAATATGAAAACAAAACCAAAATAATCAAAATGTTACAAAAAACTATAATATATAACTATTTTATATTATAATATAAATAATATATTTCTAACTATAATAACTAAAATAACACTGATGTCTATAATATAGAATAAATAAATAAATTATAATAACATCCTTTCATATAAAAATGTTGAGTAAAAAAAGATATATAACAATAAAAGAAATGATGTTGTATTGATATGCGCCTTTATCTGACAGTAGTTAGTGCTTGCAGCACCAAGAGCATGGGTTTGATTCCAATGATCTCGGTTTTTATGGGTAAGCACAAACCTATAAAATGTATACCTTTGATGCAATACTTTGGATAAAAGTGTCTGCTAAATGCATAAGTTTAAATATACATGAAGGTGTTACAACTGCCTCCACCCACTGTTACACCATGAGTTACCATAGTCTCCGATATCCTGTCAATTAAAAGCATGTAAATGTAAAAAAAAAACTAAATCACACAAAACCACAATTCAATCTCAGACTATACAGAAAGACTAACTCTAAGAAAATATGCAGTATCTCACAGAAGGGAGTACACCCCTCACATTTTTGTAAATATTTTATTATATCTTTTCATGTGACAACACTGAAGAAACGACACTTTGCTACAATGTAAAGTAGTGAGTGTACAGCTTGTATAACAGTGTAAATTTGCTGTCCCCTCAAAATAACTCAACACACAGCCATTAATGTCTAAAGCGCTGGCCACTCTTTCATTTTTAAATGGTGCATACAAGTAACTAGAGAAAATCATTGCAAGCTGGTTTATTTAGGGAGTTATTTCTCACACACACACACACAGCAGTTAGGAGCCGTTAGTTCCTCCAGACGAGCCGTTCATTCATTCAGACAGACAGACACAGAGAGATGTGGGTGATTGAAAGGAAGGGTACCATAAAGTGCTCTGTGCTCACCCTGCCCCCGTACTGCAGCATGGGCGCAGGCAACACACGCCCCGTCACGTGAGCCATCTCGTCTCGCACCTTAAACTGGAACTCCTGCACAAACGGGTCTGCTTCATAGTTAGCACTGCGCACCTGCAAACACACAGACAAACACCTGCTGACACATTCTGCAAGAACAGGAGACAGCGGTAGAGCTGACAATCAATGAAAATGAGTTTTCTTTAGCTAACATGAATTAATTTCCTCAAAATATTTACTTTTAATACGTAGTGCATTCTTTTTTTAATGCGTCTAAATAAAACAAAACAGCATGCAACTTAGGGCTGGACGATATGGCCAAAATTGATATCACGATATATTTCTTAATTTCGGTCGATACGGTATAATTCCGATATCGATATGAACACAGCCCTAATGCAACTTCTTTTGAAATTCATCATTCGCTGTTAACAGACATTAGTTCAAATTCCTAAACCAATTTCTAAAGTAGTAACAACAGTAAAACACATGCTTACCTTTCCAGGTACCAATAAATTGGTTTATAATTAGCTAAACAGTTAACTAAAACTAATAAAAATCTAATTTAAATGAAGCTGAAATTAAATAAAATATAAATATTAGATGAAAAACTTAAAATAAATGTTATCTTGGCAACTAAAATAAAATAAGTTAATAAGTACTAAAATTACTAAAACTGAAATAAAAATAAAGCTTGACAATATAGCTAAAGAGCTATAATAAAAAGCTAAAAAGAAATATTAAAACAATAAAAATGACAAAAGCACAAACATACTACAACTAAAATGAAAACTGAAAATATAAACATACAAGCTGATTAAAAATATTAATAAATACTATAAGTTGAAGTACTAACATTTCTAAAAACTGAAATAAAAACTATAAATTGTAAATATAAATTATAATAAAATGACAAAAGGACATACTTACTAAAACTAAAATGAAAACAAAAGCTAATTAAAAATATGAACAAATGCTATAAGTTGAAGAACTAAAATTACAAACTAAAATAAAAATGAATTCCAGCTAAACAAATATTTAAAATAAATAAATAAATATATATATTTTAAATATTTGTTTAGCTGGAATTTATTTTTATTTTCAGTTTTCATTTTAGTTTTAGGAAGTTTGTGCTTTTGTCATATATATATATATACACACACACACAAATTATTAAAAAAATTAAAACAGAAAATATAAAATATTTAAAATATTAATACTATAACTTATATTACACTACTAATATTGAATATTGAAATAATTCTGTCTATTAGTACTAAAATTAATCAGTTTTAACATACAAATATTTAAAATTAATAAAACTACTCAAATGTTAACACTTTAACCTCTGCAGTCCTAATAACAGGTAAAACTGTGGCTTTTATTAGCCAGAATTCAGAGGATATGAGACTGAAATGAAGAAACTCTCCTGAGACTGATTGAAGACGCAGGATGTTTGTCAGAAACGCTTCATGCTGCGAGCTGAAGATATCCCAGCTCAGATCCTGCTGTACTTCACAGTGTAAAAATACTCTCACCGTGGTATTTTTAGCTCCATCTCAAAGCGAGACTTTTTCGTTTTGGTACATTTCATTGGCCTCGACAGATGCTTTCCACCCACGCTGCCTCTCCACTCCTGTTTGGAGATTCTACATCTAAATGAAAAACCAGCCAGGGTTTCACTGATTCAGCGCCTGATTGGCTGTCATTTTAATAAGGTATAAAGAGCAGCAGGGCTTCAGTCACAAGTTATCAGCTCAGAACTGACGGCTGGAAGACTGTAAATCTGCAGGGAATGGGGTAAAGAGTTCACAAAGTGCCCTCGTGGAGAGATCGCAGCTATAGTTAACTAATAATATTTATATAAAAAAAAATAATAATAATAAAAATTATTTTATTTCAGCTAGTGCCAAGGCAACATTTATAAAACAATAAGTTATACTAAAATTTATACAACAAAATTACTAAAACTTCTACTAAAATTAAAAACTGAAAATAGGCATACAAAATCTAATTCAACACGTTAACAAAATCTATTGATATTAACTAAAAGGCCATAAAAATATTACTTGAAATTAAATAAACGTTTTATTTTGTTTTATTTGTTTTATTATTTTATTTCAGCTAGTTGCAAGGCTCAAAGTTTAACTCAAAGTACTAAAATAACTAAAACTAATTAAAAAATACAAATGACAAAAACAAACAACATTACTAAAACCTTAAGTAAAAATAAATTAAAAATGGAAAATATAAAAATAAAATCTAATTCAAAACTAACAAAAATTACAAAAGTTGTTCACTTAAACCATAAAAAAAATTACTTGTAATAAAACTAACTTTTTTCCCCCATTTGAATTCAGCTAGTTGCCAAGGCAACACTTCTTATTTCCATTTACCATAACTTTAAATACTAAAAGAACTAAAAGTAAAAAAAACCTATAAATAAATAAATAAACCTATAAAAATGGCAAACAGAAATACACAAAAATAATGACTAAAACACTAACTAAAATTAAAATCAAAACGGTAAATAAAAAAATTAAATCTAATTCAAAATATTAATAAAAACAATAACAATTACTTGAAATAAAATAAACATTAACCAAAATAAAGCAAAACATATTTTTTTTATTTTATTTCAGCTAGTTGCAAAGGTAACACTTCTCATTTTGATAATTCAAAATATTAATAAAAACTATAAAGGTATAACAAAGACACTAAAATAAGGCTGGTCACAACAAGAGAGGATGTGTGGATGGCAGGACTGACCTCCAGGGGCAGGTAAGTGTGTTTCTGCTCCTGGCCCACCTGTAGGCAGGGCAGGTGGGGGTATTTGAGCTGCAGGCTGTACTTCTCTCTGAAATACTGAGCTACTGTTCGTTCTACAGTTTGGCCGTTCTCCAACTGCAAAGGGAACCTGGAAGGAATCAAGAAACATGACTGAACTACAAACCACCACTAGAGGGCATCAAAGAGGAGAGCTAAACTGCTTCCTTCTGTTTGGAATGCATACTAGCACACTACTCTTACTATTTCTGCAGCATGTACTATGCATACTGGCTAAAGTATGCAAATATCCTGCATGCAACACAACGAGGTCATGTGACAATGCAACATACTACAGCTACAGTACATAATGCATTGTTTCACATACTACATTTTTTATTCATGTTTTTATGATAAAATGATTGTACTACAGTACTAAGCAGCTTTATTTTAAATAATAAGAACAGTAAAAATTTAATTTAATAAAACAGATTTAATTTTTATTTATTCAAATAAATAAATAGTATTCTGATTATACCATTCAGAAAGTAGTTAGTATACTATTCAGAACATATTCTTACTACTTACTAACAAAAATGACTAAAACTAAAATGAAAATGAAAACTGTAATTAAAAAAATAAGCTAATTCAAAATACATATAAATACTATATACAATATTATAGATTCTAAACTATAATGTATAACAGTATATAAATAACACTAAAAAAAAAGCATAGTCTATTAGTCCCAAAATTAATTAATTTTAAAACACACAAACATTTTAAATCAATAAAACTTTTTGTATGTTAAGACTTTAACTTTTGCAGTGTTATTAACTAGTAAAAACTGTGGCTGATTGGCCAGAATTCTGATTATGAGACTTTTAAAACTCTGAAATGAAGAAACACACAGGATGTTAGAATGAACGAACTAATTAATGAACGAACGGATATAAAATATGAAATAAATAAATACATACATACATAGTATTCTGAATATACCATTCAGAAAGTATATAGTATACTGTTCAGAACATTGTTTTATTGGTGCACTTTAATTATTAACCCAAACACAAAAGTTTCAGGTTAAAGCCATTGCAGAAACACATATTCATAAAACATATTTATTTATGATACTAGGGTGATCATGTGAGGAGCAAAATGCTCCATGTAAAATAAAATGGCTTTTATTAGGCCAATAATATGTGACCATGGACCACAAAACCAGTCATAAAGGTCAATTTTATGAAATGGAGATTTATTCATCATCTGAAAGCTGAATAAATAAGCTTTCCATTGATGTATGGTTTGTTAGGATAGGACAATATTTGGCTGAGATAAAACTATTTGAAAATCTGGAATCTGAGGGTGCAAAAAAAATCTAAATATTGAGAAAATCGCCTTTAAAGTTGTCCAAATTAAGTTCTTAGCAATGCATAATACTAATCAAAAATTAAAAAATCAATAATTTTGACCCATACAATGTATTTTTGGCTATTTCTACAAATATACCCCAGCAACTTAAGACTGCTTTTGTGCTCCAGGGTCACATATGACTAACATTGTCTCACAAGAGTACAATATCGAAAACATTTGATTTTAGGTATAAAACTTTTTAATCTGAAAATAAATTGCTGAGATCACCTTTAAATCAAGCCAAAAATCATATTCAAGCAATGTGACTTTGCCCTCTGCAATCAATACGCTTGACTTCCTCTGACGGTTTGACTCACGTTTGGTGGCTGGCGGGCCGGCGGGTCACATTGCAGACCCGGTACTTCCTCCGCATGGTTCCGCAGTGTGTCACCTCCACCTTCAGACCTGCACACAAACTTAGCTGATGAGAACGGGACGAACACACGCGCCTAAACACAGACGAGCACACAAGCACACGTACCTTTGATTTCTTTGGTGAATTTGACTCGGTGGGAGTCTGTGAGGGGCCGAGGCTGCTCGTCGATGTTGTGAATGTCCAGTACCTCACACATGAACTGAATAACTGGCTGTGCTTTGTAGAAAGCCGTGGCTGACACTGCAAGACAGAAGAGATGAAAACGGATTAAAACAGTCAAAATATACTGATTTTAATACCTCCTCTGCAGTAAAAAAAAAAAAGACCATTTATTAGTGGTGTACCATCATGATTTTGCATAGGCAAGAACTACACACATTTTCGTTCAGGATCTGCAGACTTTTTAAGACCTTTTTTAAGACTTCAAAACTGTTTAAATTGCCAGTTAAATTGCCAGTAAATACATAGTATTCTGAATATAAATAAATAGTATTCTGAACATACCATTCAGAAAGTAGTTAGTATACTATTTAAACACATCCTTACTACTTACAAATTTTCAAGTCAAATTTAAAGACTTTTGAGACCTTTTTAATTGGTTTACGAACTAATATATCAATATATACAAATTAGAGGTTGACCGATATCGGATATTGCTGATATTATGATAATAGGTTTAAAGAAAGGCAATGAAAAGATTGTGCTGATATTAATAAACTTTGTCTTTTTAATAAAATGTTAAAATGGTTTGTCTTTCCTTCCTTTGATGGGCAGCCCAGAGAAAAGCTACAAAATTGTATGTTAAATTCAATGCCTGATCCAGTATACTGTGTAACCAAAATACCAAATATTTCCAAAAAAAAACTATATATATGCATGCATAATGCAGGACTTTTAATTATAAACGAGCCTAAAATGACTGGATGATAACATGCTGATTTAGTAACACTCCTAATGTGAGCCTCCAATGTCAAATTAACATCAAATATCACACCAAGGTTACGAGCTTGTATAGACGGCTGTACAGAGCTGTTATCCAGTGTCAGATTAAAACTGTTATATTTGCAGATGGCTGCTGGTGTGCCAATAAGAAGAACCTCAGTCTTAGAGCTATTTAATTTTAGAAAGTTGTGAAGCATCCATACTTTTATGTCCTGCAAACATTCAGAAAGGATTGCAGAACAAACTGTAACATCGGACTTTGAACTGATGTATATTTGTATATTTTGTATTTGATGTATACCATGTAAGACTTCTTATGACCTTACATTTTATTGAAAATTATATTTCAAGACTTTTTAAGTAGACTTTTGTAATGTAAACAAAGATGCAAAGTGGCTTGTATTTGACAGGCGAGCAGATCAACACACGACTGTCCACTTTTACAAGTTAATGTTGCTTACTGGGTGTTCAGCTGTGGGTTATCTTTATCTTTTACTCCCCGTTTCTAATTGGACTTTACAAAACTTTTATCACGCAGAAATATCTGGAGCAATCTAGATGTCGCTCTTTATTAGTCCTGTGAGAAAACATCTACACAAATGTTGACGTGAACTCAAAGCCAATGCGTTCGCGCTCTTTCTGAGCCCATTCACTCCATTATAAGTGTGACAATGAGCCAGTGAAAGGAGAGACGATTGCAGACGGTTGGACTTTTCCCTGCCCTTTAGTGGGGAGGGGAAGGAGCAGCCGACGCAACCAATTGAATTGTGGGAGTCTGAGAGAGCGGGAAAACACACAGACAGAGGGACACAGAACTGTTGAACTTAGTCAGCGAGAAAGAGAGACTCATTTAACGCCCCCCTTCAATCAAACAAACCCCCACCCGCCATCTTTCAGCCCTTCATCTCCCCAGCAACAGCGCGAGCGGTTCCCACACTCTGTGCTAACACACATGCTAAACTCAAACAGTGCACACCGTCAATGTTGAGCATCATCTTCCACATGGCCGGCCGAACAGACTGGTGGAAGCCGAACCAGACCTCTCTGCCTCCACCCAGAGGATGGTCGTAGCCCTCCGGGGCAGAGAAGAAGGAGCGGCCCACGGGTGTGTACCTGCGAGAAACAATCACAGACAGCAAAATGAGGTTTAAAATGCTGTATTTTATTAGGGATTCAGTGATACTTGACGTCAGGCATCCACTAAAACCACCAGCTGAAAAGCTATGTCTAAGAAAACTCAACAGCTGGCATAAAATCAAAACTGAATAATAAAAAATTACTGGGGAAAAATAAATAACATGAAAACTAAATCTACAAGAAAAGAAAATAAGTGTTTTTCTTTTCTTGTAGATTTAATGTATGTTACTATGAAAGGATTACTGGTGCATTTATTTATATATTTTATATATATTTTGCTTTGTAATCTTTAATCAAAAGGTCAAAACATGCTCTTCTTGTGATATGTTCACTTGACGTCTTTGAAGTACGCAGGTTTTTGTTGTAGTGAAGCTGTTTTACTCAGAAATACACTACTTCAAAAGAAAGCTATTATGCTGCCCAAGGCTGCATTTATTTGATCAAAAATACACTGTGAAATAATATTACAGTTTAAATTAACTGTTTTCTATGTGAATATATAGCAAATTGTAATTTATTTCTGGGGTGCAAAGCTGAATTTTCAGCATCATTACGCCAGTCTTCCGTGTCACATGATCTTCAGAAATCATTCTAATATGCTGATGTGCTGCTAAAGAGACATTTCTGATTACTAATGTTGAATATAGTTCATATTTTTGTGGAAACTGTGATACATTTCATTTGTCAGGATTCTCTGATGAATAGAAAGTTTAAAAGAACAGCATTTATCTGAAGTATAATCTTTCGTGACATTATGAATGTTACTACTGACCAATTTAATGCTGAAAATAACTATTAGGCTACTCTCATAAAAAAATTATAAAAATCATACTGAACTTTCCTCCACGTCATGCCGACTTTAAGCATCATTTTGTTTCAACAAGCCACTTGCTTGCATATTTTGATATGTAATGCTCTAAAATATGTGTTTAAATATTTCTGGGGTCCCTGTATAGTAGTAGAATATTTTTATTTAATGCCATGTCAGCATCTTAGGCTATTTTCATGGCAAAAACAATTTAAAAAATACAAGTATAACAAATACAATAAAAACCAGCAAACACAAGTTAGGGGGCTCTTTATAACTATAAAAATAGATTATCTGAGCTATAAATGCAGGAGAGTCAGGGTCACCAGATGATGTTTATCTGAGACTCACTTCATGGAGGGTAGATGGCGTAGCACCACGTCCACAGCGTGAACTGGGTTGGTGCTGATTGGCTTGTCCAGCTCCAGCGGCTCTGATGTACTGCGACCGGTTAGTACCTCGTGCAACAGGTGCCAGCTCACCAGGGACACAAATTTAATACTGACTTTAAAGGGTCGGTCTTTACCCCCCTCCCCTGGCAGCGTAACGTCCAGATCCACCTGTGGACACACAACAAGTAGAGCAACAATACACCATGCTCATTTGAAAAACAGGCCTGATATTACCTAATTTGATGATGCCGAGTTCAATTATATATTATATACATGTGTCAGTTTTAATATACTTTTTAAAATAACAAAGCAGTCAAATCAAAAGTTTCAGCAAAGGAGTGGAAAAAAAAGGTGAAAATCAAGATTTGACAAAGAATAATGTCTTCAGAATCATCCACAAGACTTCTACACTTCACAAATGGTAGTTGAAAGCAAAAATACAATGAAAAGCACCATATTTTGGGAGAAGGCAAAACAGACACTATTTTTGGAATAAGCACCACAAAATTAGAACAAAATAAAAGTATTGGACTTCATTCAGCAAATATTCAGCAAGGCGGTGTTATCATTAACTAAAACTAAAATTATATTAAAAACTAAAATTAATATAATAAAAAATATAAAACTATAATTAACTGACAAAAAAAAACTTCAGCAAGAAATTTCTAATTTTCATTTAGTTTAACTTTAGTTCAATATCTAACATAACTAAAAATAAACTAAAACTTAATCAAAACTACAGACATTAAAAAAGTAATAAAAAGTAATGTGACAACAAAACACAACAAAATTACCAAAACATTAAAATTAAAATGGAAACCATAATATAAAAACAAAATCTAATCCAAAATGTAAAAAAAAAAAAAAAAAAAGGTATAGCAGTATATTAATAATAAACAAGATGTCCAGGACCTCCAGCAGAAATATAGGCCCACAACATTAAAAATACAGCAGTATATTTCATTGTACACATGGGGTTTTTCAGATATTTTACTCATAAGAATTTCTAGGGGTACCAATAATTGTGTCCAACGTGTATTTGAGAAAAGCATTTATGTCATAATGATATTTCCCCCCCATTTTAAATTTGTATTCTCCAATGAAAGGTTAGATTTATGTGAATTTTTTTAAATAAAAGATCAAAATGATTAACAATGCAGATTTATATATATATATATATATATGCAATTTTGGTGACAAGATGCAATTGAGGAACTTTGTGAATATCATGATGTTTTATTGTGCAAACTTTCTACAGAATGTGTCATTGGATAACAATTTGTGCACCTAAAATGTATCCTAGGTGGGCGTCTCTATGTTTTAGTTCGCTTACCCCCGCAGGCGCCACAGGCAGTGGGTTGGCGGTGTAGAGGCTTTTCTTCCCATCATAAACTGGCCTTCGATCCCCAAAGATGGTGACTTTAAAGTGCTGCACCATGGAGTCCACAACCTCCCTGCAGAGACAGCGCTCATCAGGAGGAGTATAAAGGAGTCGGTCATCAGCTTTGAGCGATTCTCCCACACAGCTTACCTGTTCACGCGGCGTGGACACTTCTCAGGCTTGATGTCCACCTCATACAGGTAGACGTCCATCTTGGGGATCTCCACCTGGAAGCAGTTGGCCAGCAGCTTGATGGGTTTCCCCACGGTGCCATAGCCGGGCCTCCGTGGCACGGAGAACAGGGCCTGGGCCCCAACGTCTCCTGAGAGGGACAGAGCAACAAAATGTTACATACTCTTGCATTTACACCAAACAGTAACATCACTGGCGAGGTTCAAAACAACAACAGCGCAAAATGAAACTAGATGGCTCGAAGCCAAATCACTCCCACTACATAATGAATGAATGTGTCAACACTTCGAGTGCCTGATGCAACCCACATTCAGCTGACGGACATCCCGTTTCTATTTTTGTTGCATTGCTACTTCAACCTGCCTTTTATTTATAAATATCAATGTGTGTGAATTGACTAATGCTATTTTTATATTAGATATTTAAATATTAAAATAATTGTATTTGTAACATTTAAATAAAAATACATTTAATAACAATAACAATATTAATAATAATAATAATAATAATAATAATAGTTATTATTATTTTTATATAAATTTATATAGTATTATATAAATAAATTATGTAATAATAATTATAATTATTATTTAAGCAATAACTGACTGGGTTTGAAAGTGATTGTGATTTTTCTTGTCAAATTGATTGTGATTTAAATTACAATAAAAAAAATTCCAGGTTTGCTGTTATTGTAGGGCTGCACAATTTGTCACAAATTTTGTAATTACATATCAATATGATTATAAAATAATAATTATAATAATTATTATTATTATTATTGTTTTTGTTGTTGTTTTTATTATTATTATTACTATCATCACTACTACTAAACAAAAATATAAATCTTAAAAACAAAGACAAAATAAGAAACATCACTATTGTAATATTGTATTGTAAAATAAAAAATGACTCTTAATTAGCTTCTATTTTGTTGATAAGCACTTTTCATTATAACAACAACAACAACAACAACAACATTTTATAACAAATACAATTATTATTTTAAATATAAACAATTTATATAAATAAAAAAATATATAACCATTTTCAAATATCACAATATATTTTCAAAACTGGCATAAAATTGCCAAAAAATAAATAAATAATCTGAATTCTCAAATTACATTCATTCAATTTGTGTCAGTTCTCAAGTCAGTGCCAGTTGGCCAGTTCTGAGATTCAGCAGAAAACGGTAAAGAGACGATGTCTGAAGAGGCTGTGTGCATGTGGCAAAGATGAAGCCATTGCTCTGAACAGACGGCTGGTGCCTACAGAGAGATGCTGAAAATTTAATACCAACTTCATGACTGAGTTTGTCAGTGATGCAGTTAATGATTCCCTGACTGAGACACCCAGGGCACATTAGCAGATTCATCGCAGGCAACTTCCACTCGTGGGCCTTGTGAGAAGAAAAACATCAGAGTTCAGCAACTTTGTGGAGGAGGACCGGGAACGAAAACACAAAAAACAGAAGTGATGGTGATGCTCAATGAATCAAATGTTGCCACCCTCAGAAATGGGATTTCTTACCCATGAGTCATTTCAGTCCATGTACAAGAGTTGTATTACAGTTACATCTGGCCACACATGCTTCTGTTTTTGTGGACATGTCTCATCTCTCACATTCAGTAATGGGCAGAGGCTAGATTGGCCTGGGATTTCATCATTCATTTAGAGTCATTAAAAGGGATGCATGCAACTGGTACCTCAATACTAAATCAATACCTTGATACAAACAGACTAATGAATATGCATGACATGAATATGCATATATCATCTGTCATGTTATTAAATGTAGCACTGCATCACTTGCTCACCAATGGATGCTCTGCAGTGAATGGGTGCCGTCAGAATGAGAGTCCAAACAGCTGATAAAAACATCACAATAATCCACAAGTAATCCACACCACTCCAGTCCATCAGTTAACATCTTGAGAAGCCAAAAGCTGCAAGTTTGTAAGAAACAAATCCATCAAGATGTAATTTTAAACCATCACTTCTGGCCAAAATATAGTCCATAACCCATAATATCGCTTTATGATGTAATGCTAAATTTCTCCAAATCTGTTCAGATGAAGAAAGAAACTCATCTACATCTTGGATGGTCTAAGGGTGAGTAAATTTTCAGCAAATTTTCATTTCTGGGTGAACTATTCCTTTAGTTAGAATGCATTTCCAACTATATTCTCAAAATTCCAGAACATAAACATAATATATTGTAAAGCAAGAGAATAATGATGATTCGTATTAGATAGATATATAGATGGATAGAAAATATTTTTATTAACTGATAGAAAAATAATTAGTATATAAATTAATATAAACATTTACAATTGAAAAAAATATATCTAAAACTTCAAAAGAAAACTTTGTTTTATATACACAGAATATTATGAAATGAAAAAGATCACAAAATAATAATGAGAGTAATAAAGGGTACAAAATAAAACAATAAAAAGTAAGCAATAAAAACTTAAAAAGAGTAAGAGGGAATAAAAAAACAGCAATAAAAAAAACTCAAAATTCAAAGTTATAATAAGCATCTATTACAATGTGTTTGCTTAAACGGTCCAACATGTTCTGATTCCACCACTGGTGTAAGTTTGGAGCAGAACCACCTTTTTGTCCAAACAATGGCAGTTTTTGGTAAACCGTCATTAATTTTGCAATTGCATTTGCTACTAGCAGAAACGGCACGCTTCGCCTTTAAGATGACAACCCAATGTGTCAAAACACAAGCTGTCTGGCTTCTGCAGCACCGTCTAACAAGATTCTCGTAACGAGATGGTAGGTGTTTACTGAAGGTTCAGTCCAGCGTTACCCAGCAAACGGCCAGAGATCTGTCTGAGCTAAACCAATGTCAGGCTGAGAGTGATTCATCCCGTTTGACTCATAACCGCTGCCGAAGAGAGCAGAGTCACGGTTAAAAAAAGCTAGAAAAACAAGAATCATTCAGAGAACCTGCCGAGGGTCAGACTGAATCATTAGCTGCTGTGTTTAATAGAGCGCAACCGCCGGCTTCCAGGAGTTAAAACCGAATAGAGAAATTGATTTTTAGCGATAACGTATAAACCCTTCAAGACAAACCTAACGTGAAGAGGCTGCGCTACAAAATAATCATTATTCATCTTGCTTTATGTGATCTGTCATTTTTATTTTCATCAAAACTAAATATATATATTATACAGAACAGTTTTTTAAAGAAATTAATGTTTATTAAGCAAGAACACATTCAATTGATCAAAAGTGACAGTAACGTTAAAAAATATTTAATTTCAAATAAATGCTGTTCTTTTGCTCTTTTTATTAAGAATCCTGAAAAAGGTATCATGGTTTCCACAAAAATATGAAGCAGTGATTCTATTTACTTTATAAAAAATAAAAAATAAAGTGACTTAAAATATAAAAAAGAATAAAGAATAAGAATAAAAACGGATTTAAAACATTAAAAAGCAAATTAAATATATTTTAAAACAATAATAAAAATCTAGAACTACAGGTTACAACTGCTTTAACATTGATAATAATAAGAAATGTTTCTTGAGCAGCAAATCAGCATATTAAAACGGTTTCTCAAGGAACATAAATTAAATTAAATTACAAATAATCATAAATTACAAGCAGAATCAATTATATTTAAAAAAATATATATATTAAAATACAAAATTATTTTAAATTGTAATAATATTTCACAATATTACTATTTCTATTGTATTTTTTTATTTTTCTTGGTGAGCAGAAGAGACTTATTTCAATTTTTGTTTTAAATCTTATCCCAAAGTTCAATATACCCAACACAAATATCAATAACTAGCTAAGTAAATAAATAAACGTTTGGTGAAACTGATGTATTCCAAAAACATTTGCTTTAAAAAGTCAAAAGTTTCAAATATACAAAGACACTGTATATGTAACACTTGCAATCAATAAAATCATATAGTGAAGGTTTATATTGCACCTTTGCTTATGATTCAATTTCCTAATAGTCTAATAAACCTGAAATTGTGTATTACAACTACCAGGGCTGTACAGTGTGACATATATCGCACTTGCTACGAAAAAACTGGTCTGTGCGCTGAATAAATTTACCACTGTAGCACGCCTGCGATACAGTTTTGCATGTTCATAACACAGCCGCTTAATAGTGTGAAGTGATTTCGCTGTGCTTGTTTGTGTGTGTGAGATTACTTGGTAGTTAGGGGTGTGCGATATGACGATTTTTGAATGCCTCCACGATAGGGCTGCACGATAAATCGCATGCGATATTTAATGCGCATCTTGTCAGTAAAGCCGCTTCTGTAATCAGCGGTAAATCTCCATCACGTGCGGGCTTTCACATTGAGCAGCATTAACTACACAGAGCCGTTGTTCACTGACGAGCTGCGCAAAACCACGTTCATAATCGCGCGATTTTTTGCTCAGCTGGTCAGTGAACAACGGCTCTGTGTAGTAAATGCTGCTCAATGTGAAAGCCTGTCACGTACTCCACGATCTGCTTTTGAAGAAATATCGTTGTATCTGCTACAGCATTTTTTGTAAGTTGCTTTGGATATTGCTAAATACTGAAATGTAAATAACTGAAAATGCTTTGATTTATAAAAGACAAAGTACATGAGCATGTACCTTTTTAGCTTCGAATCAAAAGTGATTCGTCTCAGACCTGGTTGGTTCAAGTGCCCATAAAAAACGAATAGGAAAAATACTTCCGGAAGCAAGTCAGCTGCAAATGTGAGCGCTCGCTGTTGCATGGCTGCTCTGTCAGAAAGTGGAATCCCTTTTTACCTGGTGGGTCTCTTACAGCAGACACAGGCCAGTCTGAGAGACCCCAGCCTTTCACACGCAGCCAGACGAACAGGGGGGTCTGAAACCCCAGACAACTGAGTCTTTGTCATGGAAATCTCCCTGCCTCGCGCAGACCGATAACGCTTGGATTTTACGCCAAACGCAGACCCGCGGATGTCTGCGCACGCTCTGCCGGACACATTTGGATTCAGACCCAGGCTTGAGGGAGTGACGGGGATCTTGGGAAATTTGTGAGCCACGTTCAGAGGGGGTGGAAGAGGAGGCAGCGAGGCCAGAGGACGCCGCTTTTCATCCTCCTCACATTGCACTCTACGAATGAGTCATTAC